TATATATATATATTTGCCAGATTATTCGTGGAACTATTTTACACAGCACTGTACGACAAACTATTTCGTAGAGTTTTTTTATTGGTTTCTGAAACAATATACGAGGTTCGAGGTATGCCGTACCAGCGTGAAAACAAAGTAGTGAAAACGCGAAAGGAAGAAAAAAAGTATTATGGTTTTGCGTGAAAAATACTGATGATACCGAGATTTATTGGATCCCGAGAGCGAAAGTAAAGTTCGATAAAATATTTTCTACAAAGTTGAAAACGTAATTCATAGTGTTTTAGTGTTGAGTCGTCAAATTCGTTTAAATAGAGTTGGTTATGCTGTATCTACTCACTCCACAATATGAAAGATTCCCGGTTGGTATGAAAGGACCTGGAGTGCTCGTGCAGGTACTCACCTGAAACATAAAAGAAAATTAATTAGAAAAAACATAGCCAAGATAGACCAATGAATACAATAATGTATAGTCTACAGGTAATAATGTGTCAAGTAATGAGAGTCAGCTTTGACAGACGAAATAATTGCTCTATAGGCCTATCGCCGCCAGCAGCTTGTCACCCACCGGTGCTCTAGTCAAGTCAAACAATTGCAAAAATTTCTCCCGTCGTCCTTATCAGAAGCAGCAGTTCAAGCAGGGGCCGTCCTTTTCTCGCGCTTTAAATATCTCGCTCGAGCTTTCGGTCATGCCACTGCGCTCCGATCGCGTAAGCCGATTAATTACCCTCCGCATCTGCAGAACTACCCCCGTAGCTTTAGACTCTCCCGTGATTTAACAGCAGGCGCCGATCGAGGTCAAGTTGCCTGTGCAACGTTAATTATGCGGGTAAACGGATACACTGCACGCCCACCTGATTTGTGCTTGCGTCTCGGTGTGCTTTTAGCTCGATTGATCCATCATTGATTGGGTTTTGGTAGTGCAAGAATTACGAGGATTTCGGGGGAAGGGATTTCATTGTTTGATCAAAACCGGGAGTACTGCAAGGCTTTCTTTTTTGGCTATTTGTTGGATATAGGTAAATGCAACCCAATTTTGAATCTTATGGAAAATGCATTTGTATTCGCATGGGATTTCTGAACGTGGACTTGGACCAAAACATTTTTCGTTTTGTTGATGTGACTTTGGTATGACATTTTTCGAGGGGTTCAAATAAAAAAACTTGTGTTGCAACATTCTGTTTTATCAGTAAATTTTTACTGACTAGAGTTTCTATTTTCCGTTAATTTCCAATGTAATAATTTCATTCGACGTAATTAGACATTCCTCTTTTACTCGGGATTTTTAGAGCATAATTTTGTAAAAACAAGCATTCCAGTGAACTCATCTTCCAGAGTTGGCTTTTTTAATATCCATCCAGCGTTTCTGTATCAACGACCTCGTATCTTGGTAATAATCGTAGGATTGGAATTTCAATTAAAAAATCCGTATTCTGGGGGGTTTGAATAAAATTTTAATAGATAAAAACATCGTCTCAGTCGCTCAAATGAAAGGTAAACTCGGGGAACCGTATTTTTCACTCGGTAGAGTTTCCCGTTTAATTAAATAGTTTGTGAAAACAGAAGGAAAGAAGGGAAGAAATTTAAAATCCAAAGCTCGTGAAAGAAAGTAAGAAAGAGAAAAAAAAAAATTAATTTCAGGTCTTATTCCCGCAAAGATTTGAATGCCGACTTTGCCGATGGCGCGTCGTGGTTGTGTATACCAAGCAATTTTCACTGCTATATAGTATAGTAGCTTTAGTGGCCTTATTCACTCGTTCCTTACGTTTTGCCGTTTCGCAGCGTCGCTTTTTCAACGCGTGGTCTACTTTTTCACATTGACTGCACCATTTGAGCAATTTTTGAAACAAATTATACAAATGGCTAATTTTGTGCCAAATTTTTTTTTTATAAGACACGATTTTACCAACTACTACGTAAATCATAATATTTTAATCCTCAATTCTTTTGAATTAATATTTAAGTTAGTATATTATTAACGTATGTTACGTATTTTTTTTCTTGACGTAAAAATAATTATTCATCAAAGCATGAAAAACTATTGTACGTTTCGTAAAGTAAATTTTTAGAGACAATCGAAATGTTGTATGTATACCATCGGATCGATTAGGAACGCACCAATTTTTCGTAAAAAATTTATTTTATGCTAACTTTGACTTTACAAAGCTTCACAATTGTGTCATCCACTTGGTGAAGAGAATTCAAATACACTAAAGCTATCTTTTCTTTTTATTTGAAAAAAAGTAGGTACCTCACAAAACAACCAATCTCACACAGAGAGAAGCGCAGTTCAAACAGTTTCAGAAAAAATACAGGCAATTTATTTGACTAGGTGCTCAATCAAATCCTCCACCACAGTTGTCTATCAGTTCTCTGGCTAAATCACCAGCTCGTTTGTTCAAAGTGGCGCTAAAGCGTCAAACAACTCCCTTCCTCTGTTTTCCCACCCCATTCGCTAATTCAAAACGCGAAAAAGCTCAAAATGATGTCAAATCGATTCTGCACATTTTTTTTTACCTATCCAAACTTTTTCCAAACATGTGCGTACCGTTGCTCTAATCTTTGTTTAATTGGTTTGGCAGTAGATTCACGATGATATTTTTATTTTATATTAAAATTTATCTTTTTATTGCAAAGCTTCGGTAGTTGTAGCTGACAAAACCAGCTTAGCGTCGAGAAATAAAAATCAGTTTCAAAAATATCAAATATAATTCTGGTTTTTATTTGATCGAATCGAAATAAAAAAAAAAATCTTTTCTTAACAAAGCACGTCAATCAATTGCCTCACAGAGATAATCGTATAAATAACAAAAGAATCTCGCTGGATTTAAACATTTGATAATACCCTTATTTTATCCGTAGTAATACTTAAAAAAAACAAGAGTTTTGATGATTTTTATCCAACCATTATCTAATATTTAGATTACGAATAAGACAACTGTTTGTATTATTGACACATGGAACAAATTAAGGATAAATAATGAACCAGATAAGTATCTGTGTCAACAACATATTATCGATTTAACTAATTAGGAATTAAAAATAAAGTACAGTAAAGCTCTGCAGCAAAAATTTCTAGTTAAAAATTCTCCGGTTTTCAACTTTACCGTTGCTTTTACAGAAAAAAATTCTTTTTTTCTACATGTAGCACGTGAACATACATCCACGCGTACACGTATTCTGGCGCGAGTGAGGGAGAGAGAAGGGCCACGTAATTGGTCGCGTCATTTAATTGGGCGCGGATTCGGCCCGTCAAACGGATGCGAGCGCGTGTGTGAACCGGTGCCGTGCATAGTTAACGACAGGGAGCTTTCAGTGCTTTTGCCACGTGTCAGTGTCAGGAAATAATATAACTAACAACACCGAGAAGGGAAGCATGTACGTGCCTCAAGGCTCTACTGCTGTTGCATGTACTTTTGATGGGCGGACGAGAGGGACGACGTAAAAGCTCGAGAGCTTTGACGCCCCGAGACGGGTGTCTGGGAGCTGCAGCTTTCTCCCGTTTCAGAGGACGACGTTGCTGGTTTTGCCCATTTCTTTTTATTCGGTTGAGGTGTCACTGGTTCTTTTTTTTTTTTTTTTTTTTTTTTTTTAGAGGGGCGAGGTTTTGCAAGGGGGATTCATGGCTCGTTAGTAAAGCTCGTAGTGAGCTTTTTTGGGGCAAAGTGATTGTCGAGCGCTTGCGTTATTTATGCCACTGTCGTTACTGACTGGTATTTTCTAAATTTGTCCACTTGTTTTTGAAATAAATTTCATTAGGTTCAAGTTGGAGCTGCGAGAGGAAAGAGCAGGGGAAAAAAAGAAAAGTGGAGGGTTGAATTCCATAAGAATTTCATGCGACGTACTCTGACAAAGTTTATAACAAGAAAAGTTTTTGATGTTGTGGACCAAGATGTTAAAAAAAAGGGTCTTTGTACGAAAAATTAATTTCCACCTCAGACTTGAGTTGCAGAGACCATACGAGAAATAGGAAATTAGTTCAAGCTCTTTGTGATGCAAATTTCATGAGGTTGATACTTTGCAACGAAATATAGTTCATACTACCTTCAAAAAAATTGGTAAATTTTTCCACTATACAAGTTTGTCCCGTGTTCAAATATAGCAACAGAATAATTAATAAAATATAACAAAGATTAACAGCAGATTTTTGAGTTCAGTTTGCCTTTTTCGATTCTGGCAAACGAATTTTTGACACCAACACCCAGTAAATAACGTACAGACGTACAACAGCGACGCAAGCTCTGATAACTGTTGAATTATCACCCGACAATTGCTTGCACCGTTGTACTCGCATGCGCTGCACACAAAGGAAAGATTTAAGCCATAGCGTGTGGGAACATGCAGCTGTCGAGGATTGTTAAGGTGTCTCCCACAAGCATTACAATAATATTATGGACGGACCAACGAAGCTCAAAGGTGTAAATTAAAAAAAAAAAAAGCCAAAAGTTATCACGCACCGACGCCCGCAATCTACCCATCGGGTACTATATCTTTTTACTCGTCGCGTGCCCTCCTTCTGTCACTCCTTTCCTTTTCATGTTCAACTACGACACTACTTCCTCTCCCCCACACTCGTCTCTCTCAAGTGTAAATTCGCCGCGACTACAAGTGTATGTGTGTGGGCGCGTGCGTTGCTCTCACAGGCATTTAAATTACAAAAGTCGAGGAGTACTATAGTGGAGGTCTGGGAAGTGCGCACAGCGGCGTACAGGTGAGCTAAATAGGCGCGATGCAAGGGAGCACACACCGTCCCCTCCCACTCGTTCTCGCGAGCTTGCGATTATTCCCGCTAATGGTAATGAGTTTTTGCTCTACCCTTTTCGTTGCCGCACTGAGTGGGGTGCCTCTGACTTATTTGATTAATTTAGTGCGCTTGACAAATTATGATGGGATTTTAATGAAAAATACAAGCGAGAGGGAACAACTTGCCTGGACTGCGCGTTTCTTCATGTTTATTAATAACACGCGTCTGAGCTGCGTTATTTTTTTTTTTTTTTTTTCTTCTCATGAATAGCCATAATCAACAGAAGTAACATCGAATTTTTGAGGTATTACAACCTAAACGTGTTTTTGGCCCTTTTGTACGTAAAATATGATTTGTCGGCAGATTTTTTCCTACCTTCTTTAGTTTTTGGCTGATGGCTATCAACGGATTTCACCAAAGCATTTCTTACACTTTCTTGAAGCATCATTCAATTGCAGATTTCTTAAATTAATGTGCATTAATCCACACTAAGAACTCATTGCCCTGTGACAATGACACCAAACCATTGCGCAGTAAAAACCGGCGTTATCGTCTTTAAAAAGTTGAAACTGTACATCCGCTTGAACCTTTCGATTTTATTTTCAATCCTCAAATGGTCCGCCATCAAAACGTCCTTTCAGAAATATACCGCAGAGCGGAATCGGCTCAAAGCCCTCGCTCCGACGACCCTTTATATTCGCGTCACAACACACCACTGCATTTAGTACCAAACCACTGGTATATAAGCTCTTTTTTTTATACATGTTACAGGTACACATACGTTCATGCAGGGCCAACGAAAACCACACAACTGGAGGCTAAAACACGACAAAGAGCAAAAGGCAGGCTCTGCCATTACCCATAACGTCCCCCTTTTCTATACAGATACCGAGAACAAAAAAAAAAAAGGATAAAAAACCGCAAAGGTGTAACCTCGATTTCTTTGGGCTGAGGCTTCTTACATGCTAGAGCACGTCGGGATGCAAATCCGAGCTTCCGACGGTCATGCTGGGGTTGATGTTACGACCGATATTTGCATGAGCTCTCCTGTCTGTTTTATATACGTACGTTTACGGACTGATAAGAACGAGACAAGAAGAAGGTGGGCGGCATGTAGGTCAGGAGGATGAATGGACTAAGGAGAAAGGAATGGGGTCTAATGCAGAGAAAACGAGAAGGAAAAGGGGATGGAAGTCAAAGGTAAATTGATCGATGGTGGATTGTATTGGCGCAGACTGTGAGATGTGTTTTCTTCTTCGGTCTAGTGTGCCGATGCACGAGGACAATCGCAAAAAAAGAGGTTACCTTTGCACTCGGGAAAGAAATAGTGGGGAGAATAGCACAGAAAATGACGAGTTTTATACTCAAAAGCCAGTGTTCGATGATATCGCTCCTTCAGCTCGGGAGATGAGATTTTAAAGATGAATTTTAAATCCCACCGAGAGTTAACAACAATTTTATAGACTAGCAATACTCCGTACGATATATTGTCTTTGAATGGCACTGAACTTCTGCAATACATCGAGCAATGTAGTCATGCTCGAAAAAGAAACTCTTGTAGTAGTTTTATCTGTTATCAAAACTTTGGTGAACAAATTCAATCAGTGATTTATCCAAAAATAAAACTATAACTTGTAGTGTGGATGAATCTGACAATATCATTTCAAACCACTTGAGTAAGCAATTTTGTAAAAAATATGAATGATAACTAATTATATGATAATATTAANAAAACCTATAACATGTTTAGTGTTCAAAGCAGCTGAATGTTACGTTTCTTCTAAAGTAGTATAATAATGTTTCTTGTATTCATCTAGCAATAATAAAATACAAGTACTTATAAATTATTAATTTGGAAAACAGTATCTACTTCAAGTATAAAAAGTACGTAAAATATATCTTTATTAGTTTCAAACGAAATGGCATTGTGATTTGCACATTCGCTGTAAGAATTGTGCAAAAATAAACAATTTTTCTAATTTTCTAAAATTCAAAATAATTAAAATTAATGCACAAACGACGGTGACATAAAAATGTTGAAATAGTTGAACAATACTTAACACAAAACATTTCATGAAATATAAATTAAAGTTGCCAACTAAAGCTACAATACCTGTTATTTATACTTTTATTAAATTACATTCATAGACTTATAGTACGTATTATTAAATTCACAAGCTTTGTACTACTATGAACATTATAAAGTTTTTTAAACAATCCAATTTTAATTTTCGTAAATGAAGGTACACAATATTTGCGTCGGTTAGCCCTAAATCATTCATGTAATCTGGACTAATGTGAGATACAATTTTAAGAAATTGAATATTAACTTGGATAAATAGTATTCGTAATCAAATCATTTAGCACATAAGGGCTCCCTTGTGTATAATGCCAAAAAAGTTTACAATCAAGCACATGTACAGGTTTGTTTACCTGTTACGTTGACGCTCTGATATTTTTCTACTTTTCCGAATCGATTTTCAGCGCGACAAGAATAGTTACCACTATCATCTTCCTCAAGATACCTTATAATTAATTTTTGATCATTAGAGAAAAGGCTAAAACGATCTTCCGGCAGATTCAAAGGTTCATCATCCTTATACCACGTAATGTTCGGTGCAGGCGTTCCTCCAACGAAGCAGTATAGATGAATGAAATTTCGAGCATGTGTTGTAAATTTAATGACACTGGTGGTATTCATATTGTCTTTGATAAAGTAAGGGTCTTTTCGCACTACAAATATAAACATAATTTTATTATCAACAATCATTATGACGTTTTTAAAAGAAACAACTTCAATTGATGATGATGATGATGATGATGATGATGATGGTGATAATAATAATAATAATAATAATAATAATAATAATAATAATAATAATAATAATAGTAATAATTATAGTAACTATTATTATTGTAGTTACTATTATTATTGTAGTTACTATTAGTATTATTGTTATTATTATTATTTCAAAAATAATTTATAAATCTACTCTTTAATGTAATATTTTTAATTTAATTACGTTTAAAACTAAGATGGTAACTGATGGTTCCAGTTAACTTAATATCAGACACACTGCAGTAATAGTCTTTCTCATCTGATTGACTTATGTTATAGATCACAAGCTCTTTTCGAATGGTAAATTTAGTCTTTGTTGACGCTACTTGCACTTTTGCTGAAATTGAATGAAAATATTGTTAGTTTTATGGACTGACAAAATGTTATGCAAAATCTCAATATTTTACATTAGAAAGTAACTTAAAACTAACCAGAATTAGTTATCTCTTTAAAGCGGTCATCCAACCATGTGACAGATAGATAATCATGTTTAACTGCAGCACAGATTAGAGTAACATTTTCACCATCGTATGCCTCTTCCGGCCCTATTATTCCATAAGGTGCATCATCGACCCCGTCTGGGAGAAATAAGAAATTATCAAAAAATGAGCTAGAAAATTTACTTTAAATACAAAAAATAAAAAATAAAACGTAAGCTCAACTACACATACCGGTAATATGAATTTTATGTCCTTTTGAGTCACAGGCATATAAATTGCAAGCCTTGCAAGTGATTTCGCCAAACTTTACCATATTTAATGTTAATTCTGAATACATCCCATGTTTACTATGTTCACCCTTAAACAATTAGATTATTTTTGGAACAACAATTATTTTTTCCTTTTTCTAACATATATTATACATGCCCTTATAAATACATATGTGATATTTATTTAGTATAGTAAAGCAAACCTTCAACTCGACTGTATTACAAGCATACATGGAATTATAGGAATTATAATCTGGACACATTTTGTAAAACCATGATATGTTAGGTACAGGATGTCCCGTGGCTTGGCAAGCAAACGTTGCGCTTTTATTAAAACCGTAAAAAGACTTAAGTTTCTCTCGGTTAAATATAATGCGTGGCTTCTCTGTAATAATTTGTTAAATACATGAAAATTTGTTATTTGTACAAAGAAAGTGCTTCGCTAATGAAATCATGATTCAGCATAAAATCATATTGTATTAGGTATTTTAATAATATTACCGTAAACTTTGATAGGAAAATTCAAGAACTTTACTGCTTTGCTATTGTTTACTTGGAGAGTATAAATACCATGGTCTTCCATCTCAACACCATAAATCACTAAATTACTTTCTGGATATTCTGGATACTGTCCCGCAGAAAAAGGCATCTTGAACTTTTTCCCTAAAACAATCTTTGTGCCGTTGGGTGCAAGCCTAAAAATGAAATATTTTATACCATGAGTCTGCGTAAATGATAAATTTTCGTACGAATGTCTAACTTTATGAAAAAGCAATCATTACCATGTGAGAATTGGCTCTGGATAAGCATCGATGTAAGCTGTGAGTACCACTACATCACCAACGCTATAAGCCTTCTCTTTATAATAAGATGTTAAGGAAATAAAAGAATTTGGATCTGTATCAAGAAATACGTTTAAAAATTTGATTATTTATCTTTACACTAATCCGAATTAAAAAACTGACTCTTAAGACTGACCGTATAATTCTATAAATATGTTCGTACTACGATGTTCATTGAACGAAGATTTTACTTGGCAAGTGTAATTACCCTCGTCCTCGTAAGTAACATTTTTTATTACAAGTTTGGATATTAACAAATCAACGTTCGAAAATTGTGATTCTTGGATCTGGTCTAAAATTAATATGGAGGACTAATCCATTGAATTATTATACAATATATCAGGAAGTATGTCAATACTGTGAAATTTGCACACTCTCAACGCCAGTATGGATGGCTGTAAGAATTGTGCATAAATAAGTTAAAATTTTCTTACTGTATTTCGAGGAGCTTTCCAGGAGATAATGTTCGAGCTTTCTATGTTAATTTTAACTGTACACGTCATGCTTAATGTGGAGCCCATAAAAACTTTATTCTTGCCTTCTATTTTTATAGTTGGTTCACTTATGCAATTGCGAACATAGTCTTTACTAAATGTCATAATCTTTTTCGTGAAATCACCATTATTAGCCTTACAGGTTAAACTGGGAAATTGTTTTGTAGTGCTGTAATGAGTTAAATTTTTGACGATAAAACCAATTCTAGGATCAAAAAACCCATTCCTGTTTACGATTTCCTGCAAGTTCTAATGTAAAATAAAATATTAATTTTCAATTTAACTTTTGGTACACAAATTTTAGTGAAGATTTAAATAATACAGGATCACTTGTTGTAAGCGTAACATTGATTCGAGGAGAAGTCGTTCGGCATGGAAAAATGGCAAAGTAAGGTAAACATTCTGTAGGTGGTACTGCACTGTACCAATTTGATGGAATGAAAGCACTTTTTTTAGCTGTATAAAAAATACATTGAATTAATATTCACACATTTTTAGTTGTTATATTTACACGTAAGATTATATTATTGAAAAATGTAGTAAAAAACATATTATTGTCCTAATCCTTACATTTAATATAAACGTACATCCAACTAATACTTGGATCACTTAAGTCTTTACTCGTTGTGCGTGAGATTTTCTTATTTATATTAGCGCAGCCATACCAGCCAGTGTCTCCAACAACAGTTGATTCCCTTAACATCGTTTTACTTCTACTATTTTCTTCTGGGTAAATTTTATAATCAGACATCATTACCTGTTGACATTTAAAAAATATCCACATTTATTTGAGAAAAAACTTTATGAAAATAATAATTCTGTACTGAATCTGTTGAACTTACAGCCTGGTGGTAATCGAAAGTTGGATAATATATCTGTACATAGTTATTACTTGTGCAGTGTATTTCTAAGGCTTCTCCTTCACTTATTTCCAACTCAGTTACATTAGGATAAAGCTGGGGCTTATCCCCGTTGCAACCTATATGTATAAACATTGATAAGTATAAGTTTTTAATTAGAGTTGATGGATTTATAAAACAGAGTTAATAAAAATTGAATCCCATTGAATAATTAAAATATGTTATGGTATTTTAAGTTGCACTGACTTTATATTTCTGAAATTCATAACTTTAAATATAAAGAATTGTTTATAGTTATAAATTTTATGCCTGTAATGGGATAAATAAGGCTTATAGGACCCTTGGTGCTTGCCCCACTTTTCTTACTGAAGTATCAGTAAATGTCCAAAAGTAAAAAACAATGGTCAGAGGAAAAAATTATTGTTCTTCTTTTTTTTACAAAAAATTCTGGTAACTTTATAAGCTTTTAAGTTATTGAACGAACTACGATAATGAAGTGCGCTTAAAACCAGTTAAATATTTCACCATCACGATATGAAATAAATATAGTTACACTAGTTAAGGAAATAAAACGCTCAATATGTCCCACTTATTTTCTTTATAAAAAAAGTTAGTGATAAATATTTCCTAATGCGTCTCTAAGTTGTAATTATTTTTTAACAAAAAAAAAAAAGATACTTACGCACGTTACAAATAGCCTGTATTTTTTCTAACATCAAAACAACATAACGAGGTTTATAAGTATGAAAGTCTTTGAAATCGCCTTAGCGATCGTAACACACTTGACTGACGGGTTATTTCTCAACTTTCTTTAAGTGACATTATTTACGCGTATAACAGCTAACTATTTTATCGTCGAAATTAATGCACATAACTGTAAATGTACTTACCTGAAAGTAGGAAGACACTCAGGAACAGTGCTGTCCAGTTCAGCATGGAGACCAAGCCCAGCCATATTGGAGGTCTTCGTTTCATTCCTTGCAAGTTTTCTCTAATTAGCATGCAAGAGTGACTTATAATTCCCATGGTTAAAAATTACAACCTTGGATTACAAGCAATATAATAGCCAAACTATATAGAGAATAAAAGGTAAATTTATGTAATAATAAACTAATTACAAACGAGTACCTACACTTGTGAGGAATTCGTTGAGAAGTCAGACCTGTAATGGACTGGAGTGAGAATATCAGCAAGCTGTTGCCACATTAGAGGCTTGTATAATTGTGCTTTTTCTGTGGCTACCACTGCTTTGCGCTTAGCAACACGTTTTAATTGCTTACAATTTGATAAGCTACGCATTTATTAGATATATGGAACGTTAAAATTAAGTTGGACTGAAATTTTTTAGTTAGGTGCTTTAAAAAAAAAGTTTTGAAATTTAGCTTAAAACTGCTGTTTGTATAGGGTTTGTAAAGGACCATAGATTTATTCATTCATATAATCTTTTGATTTATGTTATTTAGTTAGCATACCAGAATATCATAGTGAGTGTCTTTTTTTAAAAAGAAACTGATAAATTTTCTGAGGAAAATGATATAAAATTGGAAGATTTACATAAAAATGTTGACAAATAAAACAAAACTTATTTGGAGTTCTGAGATTTTAATCTTTTTATAATTCTATAAATTTTTACTTCATTAGTTACTGATGAGAATTTATCTTATTATAATATAGTCTTAGAAACAAAATTTTTCAATTAATTTGAATTAATATTTGACAATATTTTTATATTTTTATTGAAAGCAGCATTTTAGCTTATTGACCATGTGGTTCCGGTTTGTCACCGTTCTCTTTATCTAGTTTTCTAAAGTAACCCTTTAAAACATCAATCATGTCAGATTCAGCCATAAAAAAATGTCAAACTTCCCCGTTGTTTGCTAAACGTCTATCATTATTGCTGAGATTAAAATACAAAGGGTTTTCAACCTGCAGCAAGCCATTTTCGTGGTCCTGTTGAGGTAGGGCAAGCGCTACGTGATCTGGTGAAGACATGTTTGCCAAGTAATCATTTTCTCTTTTTAAATCAGCTTCCGTGTTAATGTTCTCATACTCATGGTATGATTTCTGGAAGTGCATTCTCGTACGTTTATCTAAAAGCATACCAATACTTTCTGATATTTTTGTGAATGATGGTCTTAGAGTTGGCTCGTCCTCCCAACAGTTGAGCATGATATTGTAACTGAGAAATAAATAAATTAAATAAATAAATAATTCAAAAAATAAACTATTTAAAAAATATTTTTTTTTTACTTACAGATATTTCGTTGCATATTTAGGTAGTCTCATCCTGTATCCATCAATGAGTTTTTGATATACTTCGAAAGCTCCCATGCCTAGGTACGGTGGTTCTGCAAGAGTAAAAAATTCCCAGATCACTATACCAAAGGACCAAATATCAGACTTTGTCGAAAAAACTCCGTCCCTGAGAGACTCGATGGCCATCCACTTGAATGGCAATTTCACATCGTGTAGTCTCGTGTAATTGATGTCCTTGTACAATGTCTGGGCTAAACCAAAGTCACAAATTTTAACAATGTTATTAGTTGACAGCAAAATATTTCTGGCAGCCAGATCACAGTGCAAAACCTATAAAGATAGAACAGCAAAGTAATGGACAATTTATACTTAAGCGAATAGTTCTGTATACAAATTCTTACCTTTTTCTTAGATAGGTATTCCATGCCATTAGCCACCTGATAAGCCCAAGAAAGGAGGTCATGGGAGCAGATGCATTTAGGCTTCCAGTTTTCGTAATTACCTTCGTAGTTAGACCGCCAACTTAAATCATCATAGTAAGAAGAACTACGGAACTCCATTGGATTTCTTGAGTTCTGGGTCTTGGTGGAGGCTAAGTTTACGTGATTGCTGCTACACGCCATTTCCAGATAACTGTTTACTGCTGAGCTCACGCGTTTTGCTCTAATTATTAAAAAAAGTAAATATATACATGATTCTCTCAGTCATCATCTGTTTAACAAAAATTTTATAGTGCCAAACTATTATCTGTTTTTTCAGCGTTTAATTTTCTAATATTTAACGTTAAAAAATAGCTTTTATCCATAACTAATACAAAATTAAATAAAAATAGGTAATGAACCGCTTTTATGTATACTAAAGTAGAACGTAATAAACCAAATGTGACTGTCAATGCCATATTTTTCTCATTTTATACAAAATAAAAAAATAAAATAAAATAAAAAATGCTTGGGAGTGTGAAGGGGAATGGTNTATTTGATTGTTAAAAATGAAAATAAAAACACTAAGTGATAGTGCAAAGTCAGAATACATATTAAAAATATTAAATTTTTTTTTAATTTGAAAGGTTATTATGTCCACATACTTACTCATTTTTATGTGTCAAAATCATGACTTGTCAAAGATGCCACGTCAAGCACTTCACGAATATGATAAAAATTTAAAACAATACTTCCTTAATCAAATGTTTTATTGTTTTGATTCTTTTACGCATAATTTTTATTAATCATGCACCATTTTATTGCATCATGATAAATAAAATTTTACACATTTGACGACAAAATATTAGCTTATAGTTTTAAGCCTACAAAGTTAGATTTTCAAATAAATAAATGCATAAAAATATCACCTTTTAACTTTTTTTTGAATGCACCAATTAAAATCACCAGTAGATGGATCAATTTGATTTACGAAATTTCCTCTATGATATCTTAAATAGTCTTGCAGGTTTCCATAATCACAAGATTCAAGAATTACTAAAAATTCACCTATAAAATGAATTGCTTCTTAGTCGAAGGTGTCAATTGTTTTTTTTTTTTAAATACAAAAGAAAACTAACGCTTGTCAATATTTTTTGTACAGGCACCGAGAAGATTTACAATGTTCAAGTGTTGCCCCAGATGCATCATAATTTTAAGTTCTCTTACAAGAGCACGGATATAAACTGATTCAGCATTTTCATGAACCATTTTTACAGCTACAGTAGTAACAGGCTCTGTAGCACAAATTCCAAAAGCTTCTGCTTTTACTACAACCCCAAAAGCTCCACTTCCCAATTGTTGACCTTTAAAGTCAAATATCACAATTTATATATTGATACTGATTATTGTAGCTATTGCTTTATGGTAAACTCATACTTTGTACCTAACTTTAGTTGTTTTCTCGGAAATTCCCACTTCTTATCGTACGGAAGATACTCAGCTTGATCATTAACTGTTAGTTCAGGATTTATTAAATCAATGGCTCCTTCTTCAAAATAAGCTAATCCAGCTTTTAATAGCTGCTCCCTCATCATCTTTTAACAATTAATAAATGACTAACGATTTTTCTATGGTTTTTACTTAATTATTTAAAATTTTTAGCATAAAACATTTTGTCACCTTTTCGTTTTGTACTTTCATACGCAAGTAAATAGAAAGTAAGATAAGAATTATGATGAACCAAACTATCATTGTGAGTTGAAGAGAAGGATATTCAATCTCTAAAATCATGATTAATCGTATGAATCATATTATCTTTGGTAAAAGTTTTTATGATTTATTCAGTAAACCTCTCTTTTTTTCTATCTTGAAAAAAAATGAGTAGCTCTGGTATTAAACCAAGATCACAGTTGTGTAACAAAGTCATGCTACTGTTTTGAAGCTTTGACATTCGGGGAAAGTAGACATACAAATGAGCATGTGTTGATCGATTGCATCGTAGATGTACAACAGTAAATAATAATTAGTATTTTTATCCAAAAATATTTGATTCAAGGCAAAATTTAAGCCACGATTAAATAGTGCTCTAACAGTTGAGGAATATATAATTGAAAATATTTAAACACACTTTTTTTATAGAGAACTTTTTACATCAAAACTAAGAGGCTTACAAAAACTTAACGGTAGACCTTTTATGTTTAAAATGACCTAAAAAATATGAGGAAAACTTTTTGGAACTACAACAAAAATTTTGAGTTTATTAATCAAATTTGTTTATGAAAATTAAAGAAAAAATATTCAAACGTATAAGCTTTGTAAGTCATATCACTGTAATTTATACGTTATAAATTTCGTACCTCGATAATTTAAGTGTTTATGACCTATAACTGGAGGATTGATTAAATAATGAATAATAAATGAATTTTTAACTATTATTTTAATAAAAAACGGATTGTAATGACATTTGTATGATTTTTGCTAATGCTGTCTTCAATTTTAATGTAGCATAAATTATTTATTTAATATTCATTATAAAAATGAGTAAATCCTTTATACAATTCCTTAATTAAATTTCCTTATCGACAATTATGGGTTAGCTGCTTCGAAGTTTTACTCATGCAAAGGATCTCGAGACCTAAGCACTTGTTTGTATTGTGAATTTTGATTCAATAAAATAAAAATACACGTAACATAATCGTTTGTGTAATTACTTATTAAAAAATGGAGACAATCAGATAAAAATAAGGTTATTTCATTATTACAGCGACTGTCTGCATAACAAAGTCTTTTGTCACGTTACTCTGCCATGTACACACAATTTTTCAGCTACAGAAGGTGGAATACATAGTTTATTTAGCTAACATTAATAGTCAATTCTCTCATGACAAAATATTTCTTCTCAGCCCTTTTTTGAAGTTATACAACCTCAGCGTTAGTAGTTTTGCCTCTCCTAGTTACATGACTAGCAACAAGAAAAAATACTATTTTCCTCAAAATGAAGGGGGTTAATGAATTATTAAAGCCAACAAAAAAATGACAGAAAAATTTTCGTTTAAATTATCTTAAGGTAGAAAATCTGTGGACCAAGTAGTTCAAGCAAGTGAAGTGCTTCATTTACTGTACTATCTACTAACCTAGGGGTAAACGGTACAGTTGTTGACCCCCCGATAGTGATTGACCGCCACATGCATTTTTAAATGGAGCCTTTATATATATATTTATATATATAAAGCCTTTATATATATATATTTAAGTATTCAAAAATACTTCATCAATTTTATTGCATCGTCATACTGTATGATTAAGGAATGTGGTTTATAATAATACTAATCGATAAATATACAAGCCTTGCATTTCAATAAAGATTATGAAGTATTATAAACTGATCTAATTTTAATCTCGTTATACAAAAATCATCACATCAAATTTGCGTTTATTGGCTCTAAATTATTTGTGTAATCTGAACTAATGTGAGATACAATTTTAAGAAATTGAATATTAACTTGGATAAATAGTATTCGTGGTCAAATCATTTAGCACGTGAGGGCTGTCTTGTTGTAATACAAAAAAAAAAAATTACAAACAAACACATGTACAGATTTGTTTACCTGTTACGTTGACTCTCTGATATTTTTCTACTTTTCCGAATCGATTTTCAGCGCGACAAGAATAGTTGCCACTATCATCTTCCTCAAGATATCTTATAATTAATTTTTGATCGTTAGAGAAAAGGCTGAAACGATCTTCCGGCAGATTCAAAAGTGCATCATTCTTGTACCATGTAATTTTCGGTGCAGGCGTTCCTCCGACGAAGCAGTATAAATGAATAGCATTTCGAGCATCTGTTGTTAAAACGGTAACGTTGGTCGCATTCATGTTATCCGTAATAAAATAAGGCTTCTTCTGCACTACAAGTACAAACACAATATTTTTGTTAATAATCGTGATATTGCTAAAAATAAAGACAGTTTGTTTACAACAACAATAAAAATATCAACAACAGTAGCAACCACAGTATTAATAATAATAATTATAATAACTATTATTATTATAATCATTATCGCTTATTCATTACGTCAAATATAATATATGGAATTATTTCCCTTTATAACATTTAAAATATAATTACGTTTAACATTGAGATAGAAACTTATAGTCTTGGTTGACTTGATATCAGACATTACACTGCAGTGATAGTCTTTCTCATCTGATTGACTTATGTTATAGATCACAAGCTCTTTACGAATAGTAAATTTAGTCTTTGTTGACGCTACTTGCACTTTTGCTGAAATTCAATTAAAATAGTATTAGTTTTATGGACTGACAAAATGTTATGCAAAATCTCAATATTTTACATTAGAAAGTAACTTAAAACTAACCAGAGTTACTTATCTTGTTAAAGCTATCATCTAACCATGTGACAGATAGATAATCATGTTTAACAGCAGCACAGATTAGAGTAACATTTTCACCATCATATGCCTCTTCCGGCCCTATTATTCCATAAGGTGCATCATCGACCCCGTCTGGGAGAAATAAGAAATTATCAAAAAATGAGCTAGAAAATTTACTTTAAATACAAAAAATAAAAAATAAAACGTAAGCTCAACTACACATACCGGTAATTTGAGTATTGTATTCCTCTGAGTCACAATCATACGCATGGCAAGCCTTGCAAATAATTTTTCCAAACGATTCCATATTTACTTTTAATTCTGAATACATCTCATTCCTACCTGGCTCACCCTTAAACAATGAGATTATTTTTAGGATGATATTAACTTTCCTCTTTTTCGAATTTGTACGTGCCCTCATATATATGTGTATATATGTGAGTATAAAAAGAAAATGTATGTATAAAAAGAAAACAAACCTCCATTTTCACTGTGTTACAATTATTTATAAGATAATAATCTGGGCACATTTTATAAAACCAAGATATATTCGGTGGAGGATATCCAGCGGCCTGGCAAGAAAATGTTGTGGTTTTATTGAAGCCATAATAAGACTTGAGTTTTGCTTGATTCAACACAACACGTGGCTTTTCTGGAAATGCAAAACAATGTCTTATTTATCTAAAAAAGGGCTGTGTAGCTAAAAACATACTACATCATAAAAGGATATGGCATTAAGAACTTGACTAAAATTACCGTAAACTGTAACAGAAAAATTCAAGAGCTTTATTTCATTGCTGTTATTTGCGCGAAGAGTATAAACGCCCTGGTCTTCCATTTGAACATCAGATATCATTAAATTACTCTCAGGATACTTCGGATATTGTCGTTTAAAACGAGGCAATCGGAACTTTTTACCAAAAACAATTTCAGTACCGTTCGATGTAAGCCTAAAAAATTTAGTTTTTAATATTACAAATTGTCATAAATGATGGATTTTCGGGACAAAATTATGACTGAAAGTGCAATCATTACCACGTCAGAGTTGGTGGTGGATAAGCATCGACGTGTGCTGTAAGCATCACTAAATCACCAATGACATAAGCCTTGTCACTATTTTCGGATGATAAAGAAATATAAGGATTGGTATCTGTAAAAGAGATATGTTAAAAAATTTTAAGTTTTTGTCTGCATATTTATGAAAAAATTTAAATATATGGTGATTGTGAAAACTGACCATGTACTTTTATAAATATGTTTGTACTACGATGCTCATTAAACGAAGATCTTACTTGGCAAGTGTAATTACCCTCGTCCTCGTTAGTAACGTTTTTTATCACAAGTTTAGATGTTATCAAATCAACGTTCGAATTTTGTGATTCTTGGATCTGGTCTAAAATTAATTTGGAGGACTAATCCATTGAATTATTAAACAATATACCAGGAAGTATTTCAATACTGTATGATTTGCACATTCGCTGTAAGAATTGTGCATACATAAGTTAAAACGCTCTCACCGAATTTCGTGGAGTTTTCCAGGAGATAATGTACGAACTTTCTACGTAAATTTTAACTGTACACGTCATGCTTAATGTGGAGCCCATAAAAACTTTATTCTTGCCTTCTATTTTTATAGTTGGTTCATTTATGCAATTGCGAAAATAACTTTTAGGAAATACCATTGTCTTGTCCGTAAAATCATCATTCTTAACTTCACAGAATATACTGTTAAATTGTTTTTCAGGGTCAAACAAATTTAAGTTCTTGAGGACAAAACCAATTCTGGGATCGAAGAACGCGTTTCTGTTTATGATTCTTTGCAAGTTCTAATGTAAAATATAATGTAAATTTGTAATTTCATTTTTTATGAACAAGTTTTAATGAATAGTTAATATTACAGGATCACTTGTTGTGAGCGTTACGTTGATTCCAGGTGAAGTCGTTCGGCATGGAAAAATGGCAAAGTAAGGTAAACATCCCATAGGTGGTAGGGCATACCAATTTGATTGGATAAATGCACTTTCTTTAGCTGCGTAAAAAGTATACTGATTTATTATGCATACACTTTTAGTTGTTGTATTTTAACGTAAAATTATACTATTGAAAAATTTAGTAAAAAAATTAATTAATGTCAAAATTCTCACATTTAACATAAACATACATCCACCTGACACTTGGATCATTCATGTCTTTACTTGTTTTGTGAGTGATTTTCTTATTTATATTAGCGCAACCATACCAGCCGGTGTCTCCAACAACAGTTGATTCCCTCAAAAACGTTTTACGTCTACTCTTTTCTTCCGGGTAAATTTCATAATCAGACATCATTACCTATTGATATTTAAAAAATATCTAAATTTATTTGAGAAAAAAATCATTCTGTATTGAATTTTTTTAACTTACACCCCGCAGGTAATAAGTGTCTGGGTAGTAAAACTCAACATAGTCATTACTAGTGCACTTTATTTTCAAGGCATCTCCTTCGTTTATTTCCAACTCAGTTACGTTAGGGTAAAGCTGGAGCTTATGCCCATAGCAACCTGTATTTATAAATATTGATGTGTATAATACGTTTTTAATTAGCAATAATGCATTTATAAAACAGATTTAATAAAAATTGAATCTCATTAAATAATTATAATTGTTTATTGTGGTGTTTTAAGCTAAAGTAGGAAAATCCGTAAATTATTTTAAATTAATCCCTTTAGATACAACATTATTCGCAGTACCATTTACTTTATTCATATACTTTTTCACATCTCCAACTCTCCAATCTCCTCTAGTAGGGTTATCTGTGTAGCTATTATCTAATAATACAATTATTTTATGTGAGCGCTTTTATTTTTGCGTGATTGTTTTATTCCGTTATTTATTGTCAATAACTTGAGAAAAAATTTAATTGATTAGAAATCTGTAACTCAATAAGTGTACATTTATTTTATTAAAAACTGAAAAAAAAGAAAAAAAAAGTTATACGGAATTTGAATGCTGCAATTCATAATAATGAATACAAAAATGAGTCTATATCCAGTTAACAAGAAGTCCAGTCATGTAACCCATGAGCCCATAAAAATGTTCTGATCTATGAGAAAACCAAATTTACGACGACGTTTAACAATCTATGAAGGCATTACCAATTTTTTGGTACCAAAGTGTTTTGAGCATGTTCGTGCTTGAATGAATGAATTAAACGTTATGACATGTCAGGCAAAAATCGTACCTTGCGGGGCAAACTACCATTATGAAAGTTATTGAAAGGACTGCAGTATGGGTTGAAGATTTTATAACCACGATATAAAATAAATGTAGCCACACTACTGAGGGAAACAAAATGTTTAAAAAGTCCACTTTTTTCTTCGTAATAAAGTAGGTGAAAAGTACTTCCTAATACGCCTCGGAGCTAGAATTATTTTTTAATAATTAGAAAACTCTGTATCATGAAACATACACACTAAAGAAACTTGGGAATGTCATAAATAGCCCGAATTTATTCTTATATAATGACAATTAAATTTGTAAGTATGGAAATTTTGAAGATTTGCATTAGCTACCGGAACCCCGTTGACTTATTAGTTTCTCTTTGATCTTTGGAAAGTGACATTCTTCAAAAGTATTACAGATAACTATTTTATGGAACACATTAATGCACATAACTGTAAATGTACTTACCTGAAAGTAGGAAGACACTAAGGAACAGAGCTGTCCAGTTCAGCATGGAGACCAAGCCCAGCCATCTTAAATTTCTTTTACCTTGCATACAAGAGTGATTCATAACGCCCATGATTGAACGTTACAATCGCAGTAGAGTTGAAATTAAAATCACTATACTTGCCAAACTATAAAGAGGCAAGAAGGTGAACATACGTGATAATTCGCTAACTTTAAATGTGTACCCGTAAAGAAGCACAGGTATCAAAAGATGAGCAAGTAGTGGACTACAGAAAGAGTCATAGCAAGCTGTTACTACGTTGGAGATCCCTATTTTTATGCTTTGATTGTAACTACCACTACTTAGCGCTGAGCAACACGTTTTAATTGCTGATAAGCTACGCATTTGGTAGCCGTACCGAAGACTTTAACGAACAAGTCAAAATTTAAAATGCTCTTCAACTATTTGGGTTAAATGGAAATGGACTAACACTGTTTTAACTTTTAATGATTGAGAAATACATTATCTCAATAGAAACATAAACCTAAACAATAGATGATGATTAAATATAAAATATTGACGGAGTTACTCGATTAAACACTTAAAGTATTTGTTTAATAAAACCTATAACATGTTTAGTGTTCAAAGCAGCTGAATGTTACGTTTCTTCTAAAGTAGTATAATAATGTTTCTTGTATTCATCTAGCAATAATAAAATACAAGTACTTATAAATTATTAATTTGGAAAACAGTATCTACTTCAAGTATAAAAAGTACGTAAAATATATCTTTATTAGTTTCAAACGAAATGGCATTGGCTTTGTTTTAAGATTTATTTAGTTAACCAATCGTGTTAATATTTCCTTTGTGTGACTGATATTACTGTTTTTTATATTTCCAAACTTATTTGAAATTTCACCCAACGAGTAGACATTTTATCTTAACTAAATTATTTTTACGGCTGCAAGGGAAAACTATTAGTAATTAAGATATAAAATATTGGTTAATTTTTTCAGTTTTGTTTCCTTTTTTTTCCTTCTTTCGCTTTCACAAGAAATATTATTCTTCTTTTTTTTTAAATTTGAAATTTTAGTTATACTTCCAGAAACATTTTAACATGTAGTCCATACTTAAAATCATTCATTTTTTTCATAATTTGGTCAATCCAATACAAAACACAAAAAAAAATAATGTAGCGAAACACATAAAATATTGAATCATTTAGTTAATGCATTATTGTTCTGGCAATCGATGTGAAGAAAAAATAACACGTAAAAAAATGTTTACGTTTCTAAACTTTATTACAGATTTTTCTTCCTTGAATTTAGCTCATAATTTTTTCTAACTGAACAAGGATGAAGAGATACTATTGGAGTAAACTATTTTTCGTTCTCGGAATAGTTCATACGAATCAATATGCAAATCACGTTCATCCGTAACTGCATCTCGGACTACCAAATCACAACGTACCTTACTACAATGTCACCAACACCCTAATCATGCTCCGAATCAGTGCTCCGAAAATAAATCAGTCTTGCTCGTATCAGATTGCCTCTCAGCAGCGTCGAGTCGAACCGATGGAAAATAGAAATGAAAAGCAAGATGGATCGCATCCTCAGATTCCGATGGACGTGAAGTAGTTGCCACAGGCAGAGAGCCCAAAACGCGAAGAGAAAAACTAAGTGGATAAGGCGCTGGAAAAAATGGTCCCCCCTTACCGGTTTCATTTCTCTTCTCTCCTCGAAATCGATCCTTATACTCGCTGACTGGCCTCTTAGGGTCGTAGCTGCTGAAACAAATCCACGGGGCTCCTTATCGGCTGTATCTCGCGCATTCGGAATGGCGAGAGGCGAGGAGCCTCAGGGTATAGACGCGCGAGAATCGATTTCGAGGCGCAATTTTGAGGATATGCCTGCAGGGCCTTTTTTCTTCTATCGGATAAATCGGTGGGGTACTTAAACAGCGGTGACAGTGAGAGGCTGAGTTTGAGCACTTACAGGAAGGACGAGGTAATAGATGGGAGTAATTAAATGAAGTTGAACGAGCACACGTTTTTTCCTTTTCAAATGTAGTGGGGACATTTATGTGCACCAAACGTTGGGTTAAAAACATTCGTGTCACGTTAAATTATTTTTGCAAACGACTATTACTTACGAGTACATAAATTATGCAAAGTACCCTCTGTAATATTCAGTGAAAAGTCTAGTTGTTGAAGGGAGTATTAAATTACCAAAAATCTTGAACCTGATTAGTATGGAGTTACGTGCATTTATGTGTGTTGGTGTCATATGTGCACACAAAAAAAATATACGTCAAGTAAAATGGAAATTTTGTTCAGAAAAGTATAGCCGTCTAACTATTCCAATAAATTTAAGCTTGGAAATATTTAATTTTATGTTTCATTATATATTAAAAAAAAAAAAAAAAAAAAAAAAAAAAAAAAACAGAAACTTGTACAATCGCAGGATATTGAAAAGTGCCATTAAATTTTCCGTTAGATCTCAAAATGTACGATGATACCGTTATCACATCCATTTGCTTGGGTTGTACATCAATTTTACAATCGAAAATTTATGGAATGGAAACCCTTTAGATGGATTCCAGCTACAAGCTCAATGTTTAAATACACTCAGATAAAATTCATGAATATTCTCCGATGTTAAATTAACTTTTTTTTATTAAAAAAAAACCATCAATTTTTATAACGATCGACGGAAGTAAAAAAAAAAGCTTTAAAAATCAAACAAACGAAAAAAACACTAGAATTGTCGTGTAACACACTATTGATGAGGTGCACACACCATTTCTGCAAATGCATCGTCTCCCTCTTTTTTCTCCTTTGTATCCTTTTCTTCCATTTGCGTTCCACTGCGACTCCTTCCTCCCTCCCTCACACTCTGGCCCACTCGCATATCTGCCCATGTCTTTGCTATTGCAATAAAAGAACTGGGATCTTTTGGAAAACTTCCCGTGAATCCTCTCCCCGCCCCATCGCTTTTTCTCTTCAACCTCGCCTTTTTTCCGGTCCCACCCTCCTTGGCCCGAGCGATGAATCTTGTTCTCCCGAACTTGATGTGTCTCTTCTCCTACTGCTTCCAGGCTTCTTTGGCTCACGATGGAGTTTAGGTAAAAAAAAACTATCTTCTGTACACGTTTGTGCCCGTTTGCGAGTCCTCTGCTCATTTTTTATGTCGCTATGACATTGCATTCAAAAGTTGGTGCTTTTTTTCCCTCTCGTGAGATTCTGTCCAAGTGCATTGTTGATTTCATCGAAGTAAGAATTTAAGTAATTCATTGCAACAATATTACGAAATCAAAAATGGTTCAAATAAGCTTCAGTCAGTGTTACTATTCAATTGAATGTAGGTACTTTTCCAACTCGAGTCCATGATTGATTTAATTACTAACAAAGAGATCGATTAAGTGTAAATATTTGTAATTAGGAAAAGATTTTTCGAATTTTATTCCGCTAACGCTCAAAAGAGTTGTATTAGCCCCTTTGTGGTCGATTAGAGGCTCTTTGCATTTTAAAAACAAGCACACGCACCGAAAAAGCTAATGGACGGCTTTACAACATAAGAGGAGCAAAAACTGAATAAAGGCACCATCCGCGAATCGCTTCTGTTTCCCCACATACTATATACGTCCATAACACGTTTCAGCAAAGCGAGCCCGAGGCCGAAATGCTTTCATCGTATTATACATTGTTAAAAGGCGCACTATCCAGGATTACCTTGAAAATCTCTTTCGCCGTCCAGAAATCCCGTTTCAAGAGCTGCGCGACTTTTGGGCTCGGGGAGTGAAAAGAAATGCACAATTTGTCCTCTGCATTAAAATTTCAAGGTGGGTCGACCACTTCAACTTTATAACCGTCAAATGGACAGCTGTAATTAATAATCAAAGTATAGTCGATCACGAACCCAAAACTTTCAACATTATTAATCGATGGAGGAGATCAATCCATAGTAATATCGATTGGACAACTTTCACCCAGCACTTTCGTACCCGTTCCATTCATTTTTTCGACACAAAAGCCGACCTCTTGACTCGACTCGAAAACTTTGCTCTTCAGTAGTGGTACGCAATGGTAAAGGTGTACGAGGAAGTTTTCAGCTCTCGATTAATCATATACCTTCATAATTTATATATTAAAAAAAAAGTAAACTAATAAAAAAAAAGGACAACAGGAAAAGGGGCCATTGAATGCCATAGTCAATTAGTTTTTCTGACTTTGTGTAAGCGGAGAATCATACAAAAGCAGACTGTTTCTCTCTGCGGAGCTTTGAAAGTTATTTTATGGAGGGGCGGTCGAAAGCTCTTTCGAGCTTTTTCTCGTACTCCACTATAGTTATGCTCTATCTGGCTTTGGGAGAAAAAAAAATAGTTGCCGGAATGGGAGTCAGCTGCTCGTTTGAAACATTAGCAGGAATATTTCACCAAAGGTTTTAATTCATTTAATTATGAGTATAAAATATCGGTGATAAGAGAAAAGTTAATTCACTCGTGAAATGACAGATATTTGATTAATTTTTAATCAGCACGTGGAAAGTTTAATATATAATTAAATGAACAGAGGGGTTTGACGTATGTTTTCTACTACTATATTTCGCAGCTACTGTCATCGTCCTTTGACTATTCGTTTCTGTTGCGAATCAATGTTGAAGTGGTGCCACAGACGGGATGAGATGGATATTAATAAATTGTTGTCATAGAATTTCTATCATAGTAAAGAACTCTATGTAGGAAGCACAAAATGAATGATTTTTTCCATCCTCCTCCAACTTTTACCTCCCGATTTCCATACCACGGTAGAGCAATAGGGAAGGTACATGGTGCTCTCCCAATTTGACGACACTTGACACTATACACTTAAACTCAATCACTTGAAATTTCTTGGACGTAAACTTCCTGGCACTTGCTTTTCCCTTTTTTTTTTTTTGCCACCTCCAGTAGCAGCTCGTGTACAGGCGTGAAATCACAAAGGAGTAAAAATCTACACTTGACAGCTGAAACTTATTTCGTGGCGGGACGTATGAAAAACGATTTAAGAAGTTTTGAAATTGTTAATTTTATATTTTGTTTAATTTTTAATTATTTGTAGAGTATATGGAGAGTAGTACAATTACCATTGA